AAAATTGACCTGTAAAACTTATTGTCGTCACTGTTGGCTGTCGCTTTCGCTGCTTATTCCAATACTATAAAGCATTTAAAGAAGGCCCAAAAAGAACCGGCATAATTTATTTAAAATATTAAATCGCTTTTAAAATAGCAAAAAAGGTTTTTTTTTTTATTAATAAGGCTAAATTTTGCTAATCTGATTAAAAACCTTATTTTTTTGTCTTTTTAAAAAAAAAAAAAAGAAGCAATTGTCTGTGATGTAAACAACAAATAATAAACATAGATTTTTGATGACTGTCATTGAATGCTGCTGCTGTTTGGTTGCTTTTGCTGCTGCTGCTGCTGCTGCTGCTGCTGACCTGAAACCTATATATATCTTTTATCGGATTTAATCAGACAGATAAAGAAGAAGAAGAAAAAAAATTTTTTCTTTGCTGTTGTTGTTGTTGGAACACCGAAATTTTAAAAGAAAAAAAAATGAGAGGAGAAGGATAACAAAAAAAAAAATTTTTTTTCTGTTTTGTACATCGACCTTATCGGTTTTTTATCCTACTTTTTCTTCCGATTACTTACTGCATTTTAGAAGTTGGAAGAAAAAAAGAATTTTTTTTACTTATTGTATAGTCAGAAAAAATTAACACACACAGACAATGCAAAAAAAAAAAAAAAAAGACAAAAAAGAACGTAAAATATGATATTTGTTTCTGTAAGTATGCATGTGCACCTTCTCCTTTTTTTTGCATGGGACAACAATATTGCTTCAGCTTTTGCGGTAATAATATATTTGTAGTTTTAAACCAAACAGATGTTTCGTTCTTTGTTGTTGTTGTTGTTAGTAGTGCTGCCAAAACGAAAAAAAATTTGAATTTTTAATTTTGTTGTAAAAACTTTATTTGGACCGGTAAAGAAGAAAAAAAAAGTTATTTTTTGATCTGTGTTCCGTTCAGCGTTCGTCTGTTATCTTTCGGGTATTCCTCGCATAAAATCGTTCCATCTGAAAACATGAAAAATTTGGAGCATTATTTGTATGTTTGTTTAGGGAGGTGTGGAGACGGGATAGGGGGAGGGAAAGAAGGGGCATCAGAATAAACACAATATTTTTTCCTCATATTCAACGTTTAACAAATAATAAGGTTGGAAGAAAAGAAAGCGGATTTCTTGTGATCTTTAGAAATTATCGAAAATGCGATTTATGCGTTGACAGTAAAAATTTGAACTCAAAGAAAAGTAACCTTAAAATAGAAAAAAAAATATCTGTTCAAAGTTTACTAATTTTTTTTTTCTTTCTTTCTCTACTAAACTTTGTTTATTAACTGTAAATGTTGAAGAACTGTATTTGGAAAATAAAGGTTATTTTATCTTACTTATAGTTTAGTAATTCTTATAGAGAGGGAGCAAGAGATAGAGTGATATGGATTCTAATAGAATTATTGGATATTTTGAACTATTCAGTAGCAAATGCGTATTTCAGCAATCTGTAGAAGTGGTAAGAGTGCATTCTTTGTGGCAGACAATTCACGTTCAGATGCTGAAGTAATTGCAACGTTTACCGATGTATCTGAAGAAGACTGTCAACGGTTGTGTACCGAAAATACGGTTTGCTCAATAATAGATTATTGCCGGTTTTTGAAAAGCACATTTATCATTGTTGGATAAATTAAAGACTTTCTGTTTAAGTCATTTATTTTCTGTATTTCTCAAAAAAAAAAAAAAAAAAGGCAAAAAAGATGAAAAATGTAAGGACTTTTTCGCTGTTCATTCCAAATAATTGTTAACCAGAAATTAAATGGAAATGAAAAACAGGAATGAGGTTGTAAAATATATCAAGTTTTTTTTTTTGTTTTTTTTATAGCTGCATAAATAGTTAGTAATTTTAGAACAAAAAGAATGACCTAGTTTTATGCTCTGCATTCACCTATGATCCTAAGAATTTTGAATGCATGATACACGAGGAAAGAAGTATTCCAGATGGCCGTGCAGCTATCGTCAATGAAATTGGAAAAAGATATTTTGAAAAATTTTGCCTTGATGGTTTATAACTTTTTTTTTCTACATTTATTCATCTGTATGACATTTTGACTTTGAAAAAAAGTTTAAAAAACAGCTATTTATTTCTAGCAAATTGTTTTTTGATATTTTTTAGGCAGTGTACCATTTGAATGCTCGGATACACAGTTTGTTCGTGTGGCACAATCGGTAATCATTGGTTATGCCAAAAATTTCAGTAATACAATGTCATTAGAGGAATGCGCTATGCGATGTCTTAATGAACAATTTGTATGCAAAGTAAGTGTTCAAATTTAACTTAGATTAACAAATTTAAAGAAATTGTTTTAAACTTATTATAATCAATTTTTTCGTTGCTTTTGTTCTTTCAACGTTTTTTCTTTTTAATATATAATAAATTCAGTCAAAATTTGTTCTGAATTTATTTAAAAATTGATTGGTTCAATAGATTACTAAAAAAAACTTTTTTAATCTAGTTCTTAGTTTTTTTTCCTTTGTTTAGTCGGCGATGTATTTTTACGAGGAAGGAGAATGCATAACAAACACAGAATCTGCTCTAAGTATTCCAAATTCTTTTGCACAAGAAGATGTAGATAAAGTTATCTATTTCCAAAACGGATGTGATAGTATCATGCAACTTCAAGCTAATATGTTGACAGGTTTGTTGCCTTTTATGCTTCTGCCTTTCTTCTGTTTGCTGCTACACTTTTTTGGCAGAAGAAAAATTGATTACGAATTATAAGCCTATCTGTCAACAAATCAATTACATGCAGCAATATTCTGATGTAAAAAAATTGACTTTTTGACTGTTACAGTAAAAAATTTTTCAGAAAAATATGAAAACCAAGAATCCGTAGGCCAATTGACAGAAAAGGTTGAAATGAAAAGCAAGAAAACTGATGACCAAGAACCAAAATCTACTGGTCAAATCATTAAAAGTTTTAGAGTCGGAGAAATAATTAAGGAAAATGAGAGTGAACAGCCCTCTGAAAGAGCAAGTGAAAGAAGACCTGAACAAGTTCAGATTCAACGAGAAAATAAAGATTTTGATTCCGACAAGTTTGCTGATATTGTTGTTGACACTCGAACAGCAATCCAAGCAGACAAGGGAAAAGATGTGTTTCAGCTGAAAAAAGTAGGAGCTGCAGATGTCGACAAAGTTCTGCCCGACAAAGATGATTATTCTAACAAAAAAGGATCCCCGGAAAAGGTAATAGTATTGCCAAGAAAATTGTATACTGAAATTGTAGAAGAGGAAGAAAATATTAAGAAGATAGCAGACAAAGCGGAAGAAATACAATCAGAAAAAACAGAACCTGACTACAGCTTCACTTCTACATCAGGGAGAGAAAAACAAGAATCAGAAGCTGAAGTCGTTGAATTCCAAAGAGAAACGACTGATACCACCTCAGTTACAACCACAGAAATGCAAGAATTGCAATCTGAAACAGCTACATCTGAAAAACAAACAACTCCGGTTACAACTGCAGCAACAGAAGAGGTTCAAGCTGAAGTATTCGAATCAGAAAGACAAATTATTGAAAATAAACTGATCCGAAAGCCAATAACGAAAATAATAAAACCAGGAAGATTTGTAATGGAAAAAAAAGCAAACAGCAGAAATTCAGCTGAAGAGTCAGAAACAAAAGAAATAAAACCAATAACATTAGAATCGGAAAAGTTGACGACCAAATTTTTAGTTAAGGAAACTGATGAGGACAGTGAAAACGTCCAAAAACTGGGATCTTTAGATGAAAATATTGAAGGAGGCGCAAAACGAATTAATTTTGTTGCTCCTGGAGGAACATTAGAAGTAGCTGTTTTCATCTTTTGACAAAAATACGTTGAAAGATCTCATAATTTTATCTCTTCCTCTCTGATCATTTCAGGAACAATAAACTGTTTTCTGTTTTACATAGAAAAGAGCACAGTGACTTTTTTTTTGGTTTTAGGGATCAGATGAATCAGCTACGGAAACCTCGAACAGTAAACAAACCGGAGATGAAGTAAAAAGTGATAAAATTTTGTCTAAAGTAAGTTGTTTTGAATATGATAGCTTGTTTTTTGAAATCAAAAATTTTCTTTATTAGTTTATCGACCAGAAATAAAGTTGTGTACTTTCAGTTAAGCACTGTGTTTTGCTACATTTGTTGGTACATGTAAGTTCACAAACGTCAAAGTTGAGCTTAGCAATCAAGGGTTTATAAACGCTCAGTAAATTATATTTCACTTCCTGTAGTTTCTTAAATTCATCATTTCAACAGGCACGTTTTACGAATTTGCCGACAAAGATTATTGAAAAGCCGCTGAATGAACATTTGCGTATCGATGAAAAAAAACTGCAGAAGAATGCCATCATCAAAAAGCATGAAAAATTTGTAGAGGAAGTTGGTGATGAAGTAAGTGGCTAGTAACTGATTTCTTATTATTACTGCTATTCATGTGGAAATTTATACTATTATATAACACATGAAGCAGAGTTTCTATAATAATATAATTTGTATTGGTTAGAGTAAAAAAAATAATATTTTCAGTCACTATTCAACAAGTACTTTCATGAAATGATTAAAACTTTTTTTGAAGACTAATGGATATTTCTCGGAATGGAGTCCTTGGACAATATGCAAAGTTATTGGAGAACGTCGGATACGGAGAAGAAGATGCTTAAATTTGAAAAAATGTATTGGTTCATTGATGGAAGTTAGCACATGTAAACCAGAAAACGTTGAAATGCATCGTCATACCACTTGGAAACCTTATAATGGTAATTTTTTTAATTTCGATACTTTTTTTTTTTAGAGAAAAGTTGTTTGTCACTGTTACTTTTGAATCTTTATTATTCAGCTTTCTAATCAGTATAATAAAAGTCATATGCGTTTTTTTTTTTTCAAGTGCGAACTATTGTGTCGGCCGGCCCAACCGAAAAAGAAGAGCTGTTTGTAAAACCAGTAACCTTCGATAATGTCCCTCTTTCACCAATATCACACTCGTCAGTGTACGACAGTTTGATAGCAACAACAACACCAACCACAACGGAAACGACATCTATGATGACAACAATGATCACTACACCGCCGGAAGAAGACCCGAGCATGTGGTCACCTTGGGAAGGAATATGCAAGGTTAACTGCTCTTTATAATATGTACTTTGACCAAAGCGATAACGGGGCAAAATCGTGGTGATAAGGACAAGAAAATTTATCATTTTGAATTCACACAATTATCGCTTATTTTCCCTGTTTTGCTTTCTTTCTGCTTTGCTAAGTTATAAAATAGCTTTTTTTTTTGATTCGCAAGAAAGAAAATGGAAAAATAAACATTGTAGGAATACTTTTCGAAGACTTATTTTTTCATTCAAATTTACACAAACGATTGGTTTAAAGTTGGTTTTTTTTTCTCTGACTGAAAAGTAATCAAAAATAGGTTAATTTGTTCTTAGGCCTGGTAAAAGTTTCACTAAACAGCGTTTTACAGGCCAATAGCGGGTAGTCGGAGAAATTTTTGTTGTTCCTATTACAGATTAACATTTGTTTTTTTTTTTTTAGACAGTTAGTTTAAATTATCAATTGACTGACCAAAATAGAAAATACAACTGTAAGTGTGACTACAAATTTAGATATAAATACAAGCATAGGTATAAATAATAGATAATAGAGAATAACGAATAGATAATAAATAGTGAATAATAAATAAACGTATAAATATATATATGTTACATTTTTTTCATAAAACTATAAGGTTTCAACGAGTTTGAATTCTTTTCAGCAATTCCCAAAACCGCAGCCATGTCGGGATCATAAGCAAATAGGTTTTGAGTCACGGGAATGTTTTAATGCTCGACCAGAGGATTGTATTGGTCCGTTCTTCCGATACTGCACCATAAATTGCTAATTGTTGTTGTCAACCTAATGAATTGATAATTTTTTTATTTTAATTCATTTAATTATTATTATTTTTTTATTTCTTTACAACTGTTGTTGGTTTGCTTTATTCTTTTTTTTCGGCATTTTTTTTTTTTTTTTTTTTTTTTTT